CACAGCTTGTGGGCTGTGGGCCTTGGCAACATTCAAGAAAAAAAAATCTTAAAACTTTAAAGCTTTATTTTTTGTGTCATGTGTTTCTAATGAATGTGTATAGATCTGTTTGTGTATTAAATCTGCTTAATAATTGAATATATTAAATCTATTGTGTATTTAATTATAACTGGAGAACAGCCTCGACCAAAGGTGTCCTGGGCTTTGAAGACACTCAAACTCAGGACGAGAGGCAGAAACGTGCTAAGAGGAAGGCACGCTAGGCAAATCCACACCGTGATCAACTCTCACCCGGAAACCAATGTCCCCACTGTGGAAGGATGTGTGGATCCAGAATTGGCCTCCACAGTCACCTACGGACTCATTGTTAAAACTGTGTTTATGGAAGACAATCTTACTCGGCTACGAGGGATCGCCAAAGAAGACTCTACAAGGATGCTGTAGGGCAGAGCTGGAGAGCCCATCTTCTAAAGGGAGTTGCGCTCCAGCTCCTATTCCTGGTTCCTGCTCCCTGCTGCATTCTCATCCCTCGTGCATGTGCAAACAGCCATGCCACTCTGAATTGCCCAAATCGCCTGGGTTCCGCACGGCTTGTGGCCACTTCTTTCCCTGCGACAAACCCCTCGACTTTGCAGGCTGTGCTGGGGAGAGTTTAAGGCGTGCCAAAGTCCCGGAGCGAGAGGCACCAAAAACACGGCCTTGTTTTAATGGAACTTTGCTCTCGCCTGGACATTTTTCATCTGCAGATCTTTTCTTTTTTCTAATTAAATCTAAAAAGAAAGCAATTGCCCACTTCAGTTGTTCGGGCTCTCTGAGGGACACTTGCAATATAATAACTATCATTATGGCGTATCAGGTCAGCCTCTGACACCCTCTGTGATTTATCCACCCATTAAGAATCAGAAACAAAGGAGAAGGAACCGTTGCCTTGCCAATGCCGCGACGCCTGGCTTTTTATCGCTCCCTAGAGTGGTTGGGGTCTAGATTCCCTACGCAGGCAATGCCCGCCTCTGTGGGGAGAGCTGAAGCAGCCAATGGACCTTTTTAAAAGAAAGAGAAGCAGGCAGAGGGCCTTCTCGGTGGTGGCGCCCTCCCTGTGGAACGCCCTCCCGTCAGATGTCAAAGAAATAAACAACTATCTGACGCAGCAGCGTAGCGTGAGTTGTCAGCACCCGGGGCAAGGCAAGTAATTTGCGCCCCCTAACCCGGGGCAAGGCAAGTAATTTGCGCCCCCTAACCCCTAACCTGCCGCCGCTGCCAGCTTCTTCTTGCTGCTGCCTGGGCTGGGGTATTTACGGTAAGGTAGCCACGGCGGCGGCGGCGGGTCCGTGTCAGGTGATCTGAGGCGAGTTGCCGCTGGCGCTGCCGCCCAAACGACGCCACTTGCCCGGAGGAGGAGGAGGGCAGAAAGGCGAGGAAAATGCAACATGGCCCAGCAGCTGCAGCAGCGGCGGCGGGGCTGTGAGGAGGGGCTGCCTGGCGCACCCTCCGTGGCCCTGATGCGCGGGGACCGCGGCGAGCGCTGAGAGCCGCTGCCAGCGCGTCGGTTCCGCGAGACATGGGGCTCTGCTACAGCCTGCGCCCGAGGCTCTTCGGCGACTCCGGAGGCGGCGAGCGCCCCCCCCCAGATGTTGCGCCCGGTGCGACCGGCCCCCCCTGCACCCCCCACGCTACGCCACTGATCTGACGTTCAGAAGACATCTGAAGGCAGCCCTGTTTAGTGAAGTTTTTAATGACTGATGTTTTAAAATAATTTTTATCTTTTGTTGGAAGCTGCCCAGAGTGGCTGGGGAAACCCAGCCAGATGGGCGGGGTATAAATATTATTATTATTATTATTATTATTATTATTATTATTATTATTATTGATTTCTGTGGCCTCTGTTGATGTCAGGCCGCCATAACTGTGACCGCCTGAGGCCTTGTGCCGGGGAGAGAGAGGCGCTTTGAATACGCAGGGGGCGGCGCCTGCATTGAGGTAAGATACGTTCTGATTGGGTCTGGGGAAAGAGCTGGCTTTGATTGGCCAAAGGGCTGCCTCCTGGGTGAAGAAAGGCAGCTAACAGTCAGGCGGGAAAGTCAGTTGCTGAGGGAAAGTCTGCCTGAGGCAAAAGCCAGAGAAAGCTGAGGGGGAAATGGGCGGCTGAGGGGGAAATAGTCAGCTCTTCATCCCTCAGCACATTAAGGATTTTGGGGGGTGAAGGCCTTGAGGAGAAGGCCTTGCCAGAAGAAAGTGTCATAAGTGTGTGTGTGTCTGTTTCATAAAATTTAGTCACCGCTTGATTGCCGGTTTTAAAAAAAACAAACCCCAGAGAAGTAGTTTACGATAAAACAGTAAAATAAAAATTCATAACTATACCTGCAGGTGACAGACTCCTGCAGATTAACAATACCAAAACGGGTTAAAAATTACCTCAGCTTTCTAATGTTTACTCATTTATCTGCTAAGCAGATTAAAATGACCTCAACTTTCTAAAATAATTATTTCATTATTCCGCTAAACTCTTCAAGCACAAACCTGAGGCAGATTTGGGGGGTTTGGAGGCAGATTGTACCCAGTAGTTGAGTGAAATTTACAGCCGGGGTGAAGATTAGGGAGCTGGTCAATGGCTGGCGTCAGTGAGTCATTGCTATTAATTTATTTACTACATTTGTTGCCCTTTTGTGCAAGGCCAGTGGCTTCAAGGATTGTGGTACACAACACATTATTGTGGCTGGCCAGCAGCGAATAAGGGACAGTCTAGTGTACCCTAGTATGAGCCCAGAATTGCATTGGCTTTTTTAGCTGCCGCGTCACACTGTTGGCTCATGTCAAGTTTGTGGTCAACCAAGACTCCTAGATCCTTTTCACATGTACTGCTCTCAAGCCAGGTGTCACCCATCTTGTATTTGTGCCTCTCATTTTTTTTGCCCAAGTGCAATACTTTACATTTCTCCCTGTTAAAATTCATCTTGTTTGTTTTGGCCCAGTTCTCTAATCTGTCAAGGTCGTTTTGAAGTGTGATCCTGTCCTCTGGGGTGTTAGCCACCCCTCCCAGTTTGGTGTCATCTGCAAATTTGATCAGGATGCCCTTGAGTCCATCATCCAAGTCGTTGATAAAGATGTTGAATAAGACCGGGCCCAAGACAGAACCCTGTGGCACCCCACTAGTCACTCTTCTCCAGGATGAAGAGGAACCATTGATGAGCACCCTTTGGGTTCGGTCAGTCAGCCAGTTACAAATCCACTGAGTGGTAGCATAGTCAAGACCGCATTTTACCAGCTTCTTTACAAGAATATCATGGGGCACCTTGTCAAATGCCTTGCTGAAATCAAGGTAGACTACATCCACTGCGTTCCCTTCATCTACCAGGCTTGTAATTCTGTCAAAAAACGAGATCAGGTTAGTCTGACATGACTTATTTTTCAGAAATCCATGCTGACTATTGGTGATCACAGCATTCCTTTCTAGGTGCTCACAGACTGTTTGCTTAATGATCTGCTCCAGAATCTTCCCTGGTATTGATGTCAGACTGACTGGGCGGTAATTATTTGGGTCCTCTCTTTTCCCCTTTTTGAAAATAGGGACAACATTTGCCCTCTCCAGCTCCAGATTTATCAGGAGCTCTGTGCCCCACAGTAGTAATGGGGCGTCTAGTGTCATGACCCCTACCCTTTGGAACTCCTCCCCTTGAATATTGGGCAGGCGCCATCTTTATTTTCTTTGGCACCCGTCCTCTTAACATAAGAATGGAAGAAGAGCCTTCTGGATCAGGCCCATGGCCCAACTGTTAAAGACAGTAGGGAAGGATATACAGTGGTACCTCTGGTTGCGAACAGGATCCATCCAGCCGTGTTTCTCAACATGAGCAGAACGCAACCCGCGTCTGCATGTCTGCACATGCGCGGGTCGTGATTTGTCGCTTCTGCACATGCGCGTGACGTCATTTTGAGCGACTGCGCATGCACAGGCGGCGAAACCCAGAAGTAACCCTTTCCGGTACTTCCAGGTCGCCGCGGGACGCAACCTGAAAAGATTTAACCGGAAGCAAATGTAACAAGAGGTATGATTTTATTGAATAAGTATTATCCTTCCTTCACTCACACTAGTAAGTGACGTTGTGGTAGTGGGCCAAAGGGCCACAATAAATATGATAATGTGTACCCCTGGAATTCCTTGAGTGCGCTTCAAATAGAGAAGCTATGGTAACCTGTTGCTTTATGAAACTGAAGATTTTGCAAGTTGCAGGGCCCCCCTGCCCCCGCCACATCAAGGCAGAAATATAGCTAATATGTGAATCACAAAGATTCAGCTCAAAGCTAGAACATAAGTTGCTACATGGTGCAAATGGCTATATGGTGGAACCTCTACCTACGGACGTAATCAGTTCCAGGATGTCCGTCCATAAATCAATCTGGGTTGCTGGTAGAAGTGCCATTGTGCGCAGGCGCGTTCGGCAGCAGCACGCTTCTGCGCATGTGCAGACGGTGGCAGCCACTTCGGTGCGTGCGTAAATCACAGCAAACCCTGTATTTACTTCCGGGTTTGCTGTGGTCGCAACTTGGATCAGGCCCAAGTAGAGGCAGTCGTGAGCAGAGGTTCTACTGTACGTAGCACAGGTTCCCAACGTGCATACTACCACAATGTAACAGAATATGGTGGGAATCAGCAGAAATTGCTAGTGATTATTGCGCATGTGTATTAATCAAGAAGGGACGCGGGTGGCGCTGTGGGTAAAAGCCTCAGCGCCTAGGGCTTGCCGATCGAAAGGTCGGCGGTTCGAATCCCCGCGGCGGGGTGCGCTCCCGCTGTTCGGTCCCAGCGCCTGCCAACCTAGCAGTTCAAAAGCACCCCCGGGTGCAAGTAGATAAATAGGGACCGCCTACTAGCGGGAAGGTAAACAGTGTTTCCGTGTGCGGCTCTGGCTCGCCAGAGCAGCGATGTCACGCTGGCCATGTGACCCGGAAGTGTCTCCGGACAGCGCTGGCCCCCGGCCTCTAGAGTGAGATGGGCGCACAACCCTAGAGTCTGTCAAGACTGGCCCGTACGGGCAGGGGTACCTTTACCTTTACCTATTAATCATGAAATGAGGTAATGATATAGAACAACTCCAAGTGATTTAGTAATTTTAAAAATCACATATAAAAACAAATCAAACAATAATGATAAACTACTATTCCCATTTTTACAAATGAGAAAACTGGCCATGATCTAAGGATCTAGAAGCTTAGGTCTTCGGGATTAAAATACAAGAGCTTTCTCATTAAATTGCACTTGTTGTCACCTCAGGATGATGGCTCCAATGCCATTTACAAACTTTCCAAGTGTATGGTCCTATCTGAAGCCCTCTTCGGGTCCTGCTTGTTGTTAAATAAAAGGACAGATGGAGCAGAATAATAACTGATGTCATAGATATATGGAAACCAAGTTCTGAAGCTTCTAGAACAACATGGTAGTTATTAGCAACGGAAAGGAAGGAATACATTGGAGGAAGGCAGCCACACTCAGAATGAAGCACTAAGTCGCAGGGCTTTTAAATATAAGAGCCATGAATCCATCTGGGCCTCAGGATAGTTTTTGTAAAGAGCAGCCCTGAATAAAGAACAGAAGCAGGAAGGAAAAGAGCATCCTACTGGAGTAGTTAACAGACACCTTGGGAAACTCCAGAAGGTCCTGCTCTGGAGACTGAACAACCTAGCATAGCCATATGCAGATGGAAGAAGAATGGAAGAGCCTGAGGAAACTCTTGAGAGCAGTGACGCAAATGAAGGTGGGCTAGATACTGAAGAACAGGGAGATAATGGTGGAATCAAGGAGGAAATCAAGGAGGAAATTGTTGAAATTAATGAAGAAGATGCACATGAAATCAATGAGGAAAAGAAAGAAAGTGATGAAATCAAAGATAGTGAGGAGGAGAAACATAATGATGAAATCGAAGAGTTGACACCTCACCAGGAAAGTGGAGATAATGGCCTAGCAATGGACCAAGATGTCCCAAAGACAACAAGTTCTGATAAAGGTGAGGTAGAGCGACCTGAAAGCAAAATCAGCATTATTCAGCATAAGGAACTGATAGAGGAAAACCAGCAGCCTGACTTGCCTCCTGGCAGCACAAGTGCTAGCATGTCATCTCTCAAAAAGGAACTTGGTCATGACTCCCGTCGTGGCAGCCAGCATAGCCAGCACCTCCCGGGCCATGAATCCCGCCGAGGCAGTCAGAGTCAACCTTTAATAGGCCAGGAATCCAGGCATAGCCAGCAGCAACCAGGACATGAATCTCGCCGAGGCAGTCAACCACCTGGAGGCCAGGAATCCCGGCATAGCCAGAAGCTCCCAGGACATGAATCCCACCGCGGAAGTCAACAGCTCACGGGCCAGGAATCCCGGCATAGCCAGAAGCTCCCAGGGCATGAATCCCACCGCGGAAGTCAACAGCTCACGGGCCAGGAATCCCGGCATAGCCAGAAGCTCCCAGGGCATGAATCCCACCGCGGAAGTCAACAGCTCACGGGCCAGGAATCCCAGCATAGCCAGAAGCTCCCAGGACATGAATCCCACCATGGAAGTCAACAGCTCACAGGCCAGGAATCCCGGCATAGCCAACAGCTTCCAGGACATGAATCCCACCGTGGAAGTCAACAGCTCACAGGCCAGGAATCCCGGCATAGCCAACAGCTTCCAGGACATGAATCCCGCCGAAGCACTCAACCAGTTGTAGGCCAGGAATCCCGACACAGTCAGCAGGTCCCAGGACATGAATCTCGCCGAGGCAGTCATGAATCCATTAGCCACCAGGTCCTACAAAGCCATAGACCTTCCACAACACAACCTATAAATGAAGTTGAAGCCAAGGAGGACATGACATGGATTAGTCAAAGGACAGGGAAAGTTATGAAATGCGAAAGCCAGCAGACCAGTAGAATTTGGGAGCACAAGCCACTCTCTGAAATTCTGCAACCTCTTGGTTACCCGAAAAGTGTAGAGAAAGCAGCAGGAAAACCACCTGCAGTAGCTCGTGCCAGCAGCCAAGAGTCAAAGCAGCAGCAACCGACAGAGGATGGGTCTTGGATCAGCAAAAAAACAGGGAAGTTATTGAAATGCACAGGTCAGCAGACAAGTAAAATCTGGGAGCGAAAGCCTCTGGCAGAAGTTCTTCGTCTTTCTCGCCAACCAGATGCCGATAGTGATGCTGGAGAAAAAGTGAAAACTGCCGAAGAAGTGATTGCTGCTCCCAAAGATTCAGAAGCTAAACCAGTAGAAGTGGCAGAGGTTCAGGAATCCCAGCAAGGTGACCAAGAGGTGGAAGGAAAGGAATCACAGGTGGAAGGAAAGAGAAAAGCTTCTAATAAAATGTCCGTAGACAAAACACTGCAGACCGATAGCAAAATAAGCGTTTTTAGACATAAAGAACTGGAGCATAAAAATGAACAGACAGACTTTCCTCCCGACACTTTACCCAGCAGTAGAACCTCTCTCAAAAACCAGCATGAATCCTGGCATAGTAATCAACAAGCAGAAGGACAGGGATCCAGACGCGGTAGTCAACAGGTAGAAGGCAAGAAGTCACAGCAGGAGAGTCAACAACCAGAAGGGCAGGAATTGATGGATGAAAGCCAGCAACCAGATGCTCAAGGATCTCAACATGGAAGCCAACAGCTAACTGGACAGGAATCTCGGAGAGGCAGCCAACAGCCACAACAGCCAGATGAGAACAAGCCAGCACAACTTGAAAAGGAGCAAGTGCAGCCAGAGGACCATCAGAAACTTCCTGAAGAGGAAACATTCCACCTGGACAGAAAAACTGGTGTAGAAGTCAGATCTGCAAGTCAACAGACCAGCGAGAGTTTGTTCATAGACTACCTAACAAAAATATATGGCCCTCGATATGGCGAGGCTCCTCTTCCAGTAGGTGATCAACCAAAGGCTAAAGAGGATCAGCCCCCAGAGAGTGATGAAATCCAGGGTGAAGCTAAGGTAGAGGAGGAAGAAAAACAAGAACCAGCCCCTGCTGGGGGTGAGGAAGCAGAAGCAGAAGGACAGCAGCCTCCCCAACCAGAGGCCCAAGAGCCCCAAGATACAGAGTTGCAAGCAGGTGGGCAACAACCAGAGGGTCCCGGGTCCCGGAGAGAGAGCCAACAGGCAGAGGGTCCTGGGTCCCGGAGAGAGAGCCAACAGGCAGAGGGTCCCGGGTCCCGGAGAGAGAGCCAACAGGCAGAGGGTCCCGGGACCCAGAGAGAGAGCCAACAGGCAGAGGGTCCTGGATCCCAGAGAGAGAGCCAACAGGCAGAGGGTCCCGGGTCCCGGAGAGAGAGCCAACAGGCAGAGGGTCCCGGGACCCAGAGAGAGAGCCAACAGGCAGAGGGTCCCGGGTCCAGGAGAGAGAGCCAACAGGAGGAGATGCCAGGGTCCCCAAAAGATAACCAAGATGAGGAGATGCCGGGGTTCCCAAAAGACAGCCAACAGGAGGAGATGCCAGGGTCCCCAAAAGAGAGTCAACAGGAGGAGATGCCGGGGTTCCCAAAAGACAGCCAACAGGAGGAGATGCCAGGGTCCCCAAAAGATAACCAAGATGAGGAGGTGCCAGGGTTCCCAAAAGACAGCCAACAGGTGGAGATGCCAGGGTCCCGCAAAGAGAGCCAACAGGTGGAGATGCCAGGGTCCCGGAAAGAGAGCCAACAGGTGGAGATGCCAGGGTCCCGGAAAGAGAGCCAACAGGTGGAGATGCCAGGGTCCCGGAAAGACAGCCAACAGGTGGAGATGCCAGTGTCTCGGAAAGGCAGCCAACAGGTGGAGATGCCAGGGTCCCGCAAAGAGAGCCAACAGGTGGAGATGCCAGGGTCCCGGAAAGAGAGCCAACAGGTGGAGATGCCAGGGTCCCGGAAAGAGAGCCAACAGGTGGAGATGCCAGTGTCTCGGAAAGGCAGCCAACAGGTGGAGATGCCAGGGTCCCGCAAAGAGAGCCAGCTATTTGCACAGCATGAATCTCCACCACATACCCACCTATCTGTGGGTGAAATAACTGAACAACCAGGTCCCTCTGAAAGCCAAGGAACGCTAGGGAGCATTGTGTCATTTACCGAAGGGGAGGATGTAGCTCTGCAGACGTACAGCATAGTTTCTCTCCCAGACGGAATTTGGCTGAACAGGAAGACAGGCAAGTTTTTGGTTAGCCACGGTCAACAGACAACAGTCACTTCACTTTCAGCCCTGAATCAAATAGCATTGGAAGAGGCCGCAATTGCTTCAAAGCCATCTGGACTTGGCGCTGGCGGCGAGGGAGTGGTGGCCAAGGCCTTGGAAGTGCATCAGGACAGTGCTACAGCTGAAGCAAAGCCTGAAGAAGACCAGCCGCCACCTTTAAGCCAGGAATCCCGCCGTGCTAGTCAGCAGTCGAGGCACAGCCAAGGATCCCGCCGTGGCAGCCAGATTCCTTTGGAGCAAGAACCCAGTCCTGTCAACCAGCCAGCTTCTGATGACCAGAAGGAAGAGGGGCTCCAGGAAGCGGAGGATGCTGAGGGAGAGCTGAGCCATCGCTTGAGCGAAGCAGCCCTGGAGAGCATAGCAGCAGCCGCCGCGGACAGAGAAGACAACGTATCTCAGCGGACTTACAGTTCCATTTCTCTAGCGAAAGGATCCTTTGTCAACAAAAGAACAGGCAGGTCGCTGGTATCTCAGCAACTGCAGACTGAAGAGTCTTCATTTCATAACGTTGGAGAAGCAGTGGAAGAACCCCAGGACGGTGATCAAGTACCTGAAGAAGACCAGGTTGAAAATCCTGAACCAAGCGAACCTGAGAACCCGGGGGAATAGCAGGTGCAACAGTGGGAAAGAGAAGAAGGTCCTTATATGAGCAGACAGTTAGTCGATGGCTAAGGCCCAGCTTACCCTGTGAGTAATGAGCTGTTGCTGGAATTGTAGAGACCTGAGTGGCAGAGCCACCTGTATCCCCAGGAGATATCCCCAGGAGTCACCATGTCCTGTTTTCTGAACAGAAGGCACAGTGGCTAGCAAGGGGAAGCGAAGTTCCTGGGAGCATGGCGGGCCTCTTTCGTCAGAAAAGCAAAGCCTTAGGCTGAAAGAAGCAGAATAAAAAACAAAAATGGGAAACGTGTACCTTCCTTTGTCTTTCAACGTATGCAAAATTGTTGTCCTTCCGGTTAATTTTTCAACATACCCAGGAAGCTCTTAAGAGGCAGGGGGTATTAGCTGAGGAAGAAATGCAACGCAACCACATCATGGGCACATTTAACTCATGCAGTTTTGACCTTATGTGGTTGAAGGGCGGCTGGTTGAAATCTTGCAAGTTTTCCTGGTCGGCCAGGGAGGAGGGAGGCTCCAACTGTGTTGCTTGGCTGCGTTGCTCACCCAATAAGGAGTCTAAGAACGACTGGGGGGTGGAGCTTGCATGCCTTGTGCCGATCAAATCGGCCACGTTGCCTGGGGACTCGCCCTTGCTCAGCGCTTCCCAGCGGAGAGGTGACGGTGGTTTTCCTTGCTGCATCCCCTTTGCCGGGTTGCTGCGCTGTGGGAACCACCGCTTGAGGCTTTGTTTGGCTGCTGGCTGGGCTTTCTGCCTTTGGCTTGGAGGGGCTCAGAAGTTGAACATACCTGTGCTCAGAAAATCCCTTATTTTGGCTGCTGATCCCTTATTTTCAAGGCTGCTGGTCTCTTATTTTCAAATCTGTAAGTTGACAGCTATGCCTAGGACCCTCATACCTACGGGACCGCCTCTCCTGGTATGCCCCGCGGAGGACCTTAATGTCCACAAATAACAACACTTTAGAGGTCCCAAGTCACAAGATTAGTCTCAACTAGGACCAAGGCCTTTTCAGTACTGGCCCCAACTTGGTGGAATGCTCTGTCCCAAGAGACCAGGGCCCTGCAGGACTTGACATCTTTCCACAGGGCCTGCAAGACAGAGCTGTTCCGCCTGGCCTTTGGTTTGGAGACAGTCTCATCCTTATGTTTCCCTTCCCTTATGGTCTTGATCTATGGACTACTTTTAAAATGAGGCTGCGTTTTAAATTGCATTTTTAACCTGTATTTTAAATTGGGGTCCCCCCCCCATTGTGTTTTTACTGTAATTTTACTGGTGTTAGCCGCCCTGAGCCCGGCTCTGGCCGGGGAGGGTGGGGTATAAATAAAAATTATTATTATTATTATTACAATAGGCCCTCCAAGTTTTCCTGTTTTGCAAGAACAGTCCCAGATTTACAGAAGCCATCCCGGTTTCTGATTTGATCCCGAAATGTCCCGTTTTTCCTTAGGATATCTCTATTTTCATCGGGGCAACCCAGTTATGTGGGCAGGGTATAAACAATAAATTTACTGCTGCTACTACTACTACTACTACTACTATAGAACAGGATGTCCCTATTTTCATCAGAGAAATGTTGGAGGGTGTGTTAGAATACTGCATCCGAAATAAGCTTTGGCCCACCCTGTGCCATACATCTCCATAGGCCAAGGGGTTCTCTCTTTTGAGAACCACCAAAAACACCCACAATAGAAATGGTTGGCTTTGTGCAGCAATCCATGTTCGATGACCACAGGTGACAATGACAAATCTGGAACTGAGCCTGGGCACTCCGCCCTTTGGGTCCCTTCCAGCCCTATTAGTCTATTATTCTGTGAAATAGATACAGTATGCACAAGAAAAGAAATAGCTTAGTTTTGGCACTTTTAGTTCGGCTTTGTTGTTGTTGTTTAGCCGTTTAGTCGTGCCCGACTCTTCATGACCCCCTGGACCAGAGCACGCCAGGCACTCCTGTCTTCCACTGCCTCCCGCAGTTTGGTCAAACTCATGCTGGTAGCTTCAAGAACACTGTCCCACCATCTCGTCCTCTGTCGTCCCCTTCTCCTTGTGCCCTCCATCTTTCCCAACATCAGGGTCTTTTCCAGGGAGTCTTCTCTTCTCAGGAGGTGGCCAAAGTATTGGAGCCTCAGCTTCAGGATCTGTCTTTCCAGTGAGCACTCAGGGCTGATTTCCTTCAGAATGGATCGGTTTGATCTTCTTGCAGTCCATGGGACTCTCAAGAGTCTCCTCCAGCACCATAATTCAAAAGCATCAATTCTTCGGCAATCTGCCTTCTTTATGGTCCAGCTCTCACTTCCGTTCGGCTTTAGAACGTGTCTACTGGGGACCAAATAATGGGCGAAATTTTCGGATGGGGGAACCGATTAACAGTAAATTGTTTGGAAATCTTAGGATGGTATTCAGTTACCTCATCCTGTCGGCGCAAGGATTTCTGCTTATGTAATGGGACTTTAGCCCCTCTGCTCCCATACCCCACCTTCCCCAAATCTGCTCCAAGGGGATTATTATTATTATTATTATTATTATTATTATTTGGAAGGCACAGAGGAGACCATTCCATTGCGCAACCAGAAATCCTTCCACTGACAGAATGTCCACTCAACGCTACGTTGGATCCTGCCCTTGGCATCAGACGACCTTCTTTTGCTGACTTTGAACAGGAGAAAGATGATAAATTCTTAATGGATATTATGAGGAGCAAAGCATTAAATATAAATGGAACAAGATGGTTTTGCAAACGGACAGTGACTATTTCAGAAAAAGGTGCTAGGGAGTTTGTGGCAGAGGCTGAGACTTCATAAGCAGGGTAAATGCAGCTGTTATGTAACGACTGAGAAAATAAGCCCTAGTTAAACATGCGATTGTTTATTTTTTCAGTTGACTAATGAATCTGGAACTTGATTGTGGCCTGGTAAATTATTGAGGTCTTAACTCAGGAACGAAGAGAAAAAGAGAAAATGGGGCTTTTGGTTAGAGAAAAATAGGTTAGTCATTGAGCAAGTGTAGATCTTTTTACTTGGCAACTCCAGAAATGTTTCAAAAACATGACACGATGTGAGATTTTGGCCAGAATAATATCTGACTACACAGCCTTGAAACCTGCAGTTTACATGGTAGACAAGATGGGGAACACACAGATCGGAGGTGGTTCAGGATTTATTTGTGAATTAACTTAAAAGAGAAATAAAACAATTTTCGTACTGAATTTTACCCCAGGGATGCATACATTTATAATTTGGGAAGCTGGTAAAGCTTACACGAAGGATTTATTAATAAGAAAAATGATCTATTGTAAGCGAAAGCAGGAGGGTGCGTGGGAGGAAATCATTTTTAAAATTAAGAATCTGGAATTGAAGGATAAGTTTAGTGGAAGGGAGGGAAATTGGAAGAAAGGCTGGAAGCATCAGGAATAAATGAGCACAATTGGGGCAGGCGGAGGATCTGGCGCATATAATTCCTTCAGCATTTTCAAAATTAAGATAGTTCTTAGATTGACTGTAGCAGTGGCGTAGGAAGGGGGGCGGAAGGGGCGGTTCACCCCGGGTGCCACTCTGGGAGGGGCGACAAGATGGCCGTCCATGCGTGCACCGTCCGTACGGGCTGCCTCTCGCACGGTGACCGTATGGCCTGCCGCACATGCGCAGTCCATACGGGATGCCGCTCATGTGGTGTTAGTTTCTGTTTGCCACTGAGCAGCTGCTTGGAGTCACAAGACTCTGTTTACATTGCAGAGACCTTCCAGGCTGTTGGAAGTCTCACGGGAAAGGAGACGGGATGTGACGTTAGTGGTTTCCTGTTCCTTTGTTCGGTTGCTCTCTGCTTTCATAGAGAGAGGATGTCTTTTCTGTCTGTGTAGCTTAGAAATAAAGCATAGCAATGTAGCCCATACCTCTCGTCTCTTTCCTGTGCTGGAAACTCTGCTTAATGGATGGGAACGTGCCTTGGAGCCTCATCAAAGGCTCAGGTCGTTAATTATTCGTCGGGAGGCGATTCCGAAGGCTCGGCTGGAAGATGAGGCTTTATCAGCCTGGCTGAGCAGAGATCCCAACATGCGGCAGCCTGTACAGTCGCTGTGCAAGAGGCATCCCGTACGGACTGCGCATGTGCAGCATCCCGTATGGACTGTGCATGTGCGGCATCCTGTACGGTCACCGCACATGCACAGTCCGTACAGGATGCCGCTCACGAGTGGCAGCCCGTACGGACTGTGCATGTGTGGCATTCCGTACAGAGTGCGCACTCACGGAGTGCTCATGCGGCAGCCTGTACGGTCACTGTGCAAGAGGCAGCCCATACGGACTGTGCATGTGCGGCATCCCGTATGGACTGTGCATGTGCAGCATCCTGTGCGGTCACCGCACATGCACAGTCCATACGGGATGCCACTCGCAAGTGGCAGCCCGTACAGACTGCGCATGTGTGACATTCCGTATGGGCTGCGCCGCCCCAAGTGCTGGAGAGGGTTCCTCCGCCACTGGACTGTGTAATAAATAGTACGGTAAATGATAAGTACCTACCGGAATCCTGGTCACTGGCAGAAATCGTTTTGATGTTGAAAGAAAGGAAAGAACTCACTAATGTGAAATCAGACTATCCAACAGCAATTCTTAACCAGGATTACAAGGCTGTTGCAGCAACAACAATTGCAAAGAGGATCAATTTAATTATTGGCTAATAGATTAAGGAGGATCAAGACTGTTTTGTGAAAGCGATTTTGTAAAATCATATAAGGAGTACAATAAAGTTAATTTGTAAGAGTAATAAGCTTAAACGGCCTGCTATTTTTATATTTTTGCGTATGCAAAAGGCTCATAATAGGGTTGAAAGAGAACTTCCAAAGGTAAATTTGGGGTCGAAAAAAGTGAGAGCAGGATAGTACAAAACCTTAAATTTTCTAAAATGGAATATTGTCATTTAGGAAGGGGCTCTGCATCAAGGGTCCCCCTTTAATCTGCATTATTTCTTATTTTTCCTCAAGCGTTCAGCCTTGGCCATTTAAAATAATCAGAAAACTAAAGGGTAAGATTCCATTCCCCAGAAAGGAAGATCATGCTGTGGATCACATCGTATTTTTTGTGTTGGTCTGATCCTATAGGAGGTGAAATAATAATTGGACCTAAAAATGAATTTATTGGGGTTGGTGCTTAGAAGACAATGCTAAGAATACAAGTCAAATGATGTTTGGAGGTAGATGGAAGTCTACAGCTGTGCAATATCTGGGTTTATGTGTTTAGCACCTAGATAGATCGTGTGGTTTCATACCATTTTGATTTACCTGTTAACATGATTCAGAGACTGAAGAACAGAGGGATTTAAACATTTCTTGGTTTCTGCTCTCCAGGATTTGGGGCAGAGAGTCTTTCCCAAAGTAAAGGTAAAGGGACCCCTGACCATCAGGTCCAGTCATGGCCGACTCTGGGGTTGCGGCGCTCATCTCGCTTTCCTGGCCGAGGGAGCCAGCGTACAGCTTCTGGGTCATGTGGCCAGCAGGACTAAGCCGCTTCTGGCGAACCAGAGCAGCGCACGGAATCGCCGTTTACCTTCCCGCT